TCTCCGGTGCCGCCGCGGAGTTGATCACATACGTACCCTGCGCCGAACGATGTAAATCCCCGAAACCCTTGTCGAACACTGTCCTTATCAGTGTTGTTGCTGTTCTCCGTTCATGTGGGCAGGCTCGCAACATGTTCCCATATAATCCCAAAGCCGTCGTTTCGAACCATTATATATGAATGTCATGTCGACACGAAGTCTGTCCCTTCACACAGATACTAGAATTCTCCGTCGCGTTTGTGGCGGACGCTTTCTTGAGTCGCGACCGCTTCAAAGATACATAAACAAATTGTTCCCATCTCCAAATCCATCTGTTCGCATGCTCGCCGTTACTGGTGTCAGAAATAATTGGGAAACTATCGCAAGATTATGCCCGGGGCTCGTCAGAAGCCACACTCTTCAGAATGTTCGCACAGTTCCGCCGTCTTTTTGGATTGCGACGCCAACGTGTCCATCACGGAGTCTGCATTGCAAAATCGTTATGGAATGCTCTCTGGGAGATGCGCACTGTTGCGCTGACATCCGAGGGTTGTTGCATTTTACATGTTGGCATACTTCCTTTGCACATGCGGTGTTCCAATATCTTGTTCGCCACCGCGCCCCAAAAAACATATCGCACTTCGCCTGACAAGACACCATACGGCTGAAAAGCATACGCTGTGTAATAATGACTTCATGGACCATCCATTGTATGCTGCCTAATGCCTGCTGTAATACGTCCAATGTTTGAGTTTGCTTGTCTGCGTTTGTCTCGAGAGCGTGCAACTTGCCTTCAATGCTCTGCGCAATTGTGCGCCGCTCCCATCTGCGTTGAGAATCCGCTTGGACATTTGCATATTGACCCCTGCGCGCTGCCACGGTGTGAACTGGCTGCCATCTTGCCATTGCTGCCGAGAGCTCGCGCGCCAGACGAAATTTGGGCCTCTGCAAATCCCTGGCTGATACTGGCCTTGAGCCGACCTCAAACAAAAATGGCAACGGAGGACGAGGGAGGAGGAGGAGGAGGAGGAGGAGGAGGAGGAGGAGGAGGAGGAGTAGGAGGAGGAGGAGGGAGGAGGGAAAAACGGAGGGACCCAGAGGCTTCCAAGGAGGGATTCTCCGGGCTGCACGAAGGAGTGACCCTACATAGGCAAGAGTGACCTTTGGTGCGCGGCCTAGGGGAAGGGAAGGGGCTGTGGGGCCTCCGCGAGGCGCGCAAGCCGCTGCCATCGCATCGAACTCCGCACCCAAGGGCACTCCATCGAAAGGCCACTCTTACGTGTAGCCGTGTGTTGCTCCCATCGCACTTAAGGACCAAATCCGAGAAATAATTTCGAGCACCCAGAGAAGTATCGAAACAGTGTCGAACGAGTATCGCCTCCCAGAGCCCGACAAGTGAGAACCCTCCAGTTTCGGTACTTAATTGGTGCTCGAAGTTCTGCCTGGTGACAAAGGCTAAGGTAGGTTGGAACATCATATCCCTATGCCAAAGTGACCTTTGGTGCGCGGCCTACGGGACGGGGGCTCTGGGGCCACCACCAGGCGCGCAAGCCGCTGCTATCGCATCGCGTTCCGCGATCGGGAGGCCCCATTGAGCCCGCACCAAAGGTCACTCCAGCGAAAGGTCACTCTCTCGGATAACGAACAATGACATTCACACAACAACTCGGAGGTCCGCGCGGATTCCTCGGATCCGGATCGTCGCTCGACACCCCTCCCTGGCGCGCGGAGCGCGCCAGGGGCGGCGCTAGAGGTGCCGCCTGGGGGCCCCAGCGCCGATCCGAGAAATCCGCGCGGACCTCCGAGTTGTTATGTTCATATCACTGTTCGTTCCCCTACTCTTACGCGTAGCCGATTCTTCGGAGCCCCGGGCGGTTCCAAAAACCTGCCCCCCCCATGCCGCTTGGAAGGCCTCCCCCCCCGGCAAGAAGGCGCAACCACTCTTGCGCCACCCCTCTGCTCGGCGGAGAGAGCGACGGAGGGAAGCGAGAAGGAGAAGGCCTCCTCAGAAGGCGACGGGGCTTCTCGGAAGCCCTCGCGCCGTCTGAGAGGTTGTTTTTGCGTCTTCGGGGATGGCCCCGAAAACTTCTCAGAAGGCCGTGGGGCTTCCGAGCCTTCTGAGAAGGCCCGCCCCTTCTCACCTCCCCCCCTCGCCCGCCGCCGATTTGCTCTTCGACGACTGCACCTCCCACGCAGGAGGGGCTCGGCTCGGGCGTTTCTCAACGAGGGGGCGACACAATAGGAGGAGGAGGGGGAGGAGGAGGAGGAGGAGGAGGAGGAGGAGGAGGAGGAGGAGGAGGACGAGGAGAAGGAGGAGGGGACCGAAGCAGATGGGCGAAAAAATCGGGGGGGGGGGGGAGCGAGAAATGAGGGGGCGAGAGGAACGTGCACCTTTCGTGCCCCTCGTGGGCCCCCTTCAGGGCACCTTTGTAGAGGCACAAAAGGTACCCCTTTCTTCACCCCCCCGCTTCGCCCGACTCCCCCCCCGCCCGCCCTCGCTGGTCACGCCCATCATCGCCAGGAGCCCAGTTCGCAGCCCCCCCGGTAGGAAAGGCACGAGCAAGGGAAGCAGGGAGGCAGGGAGCAGGAGGAGGAGGCACAAGGGAGGAGGAGGGCACCAGAAGGGAGGCAGGGAGGCAGGAAGCCGGAGGGGGCAGAAGGGGAGCAGGAGGAGGCAGGAAGCCGGAGGAGGCAAAAGGGAAGCAGGAGGAGGCAGGAAGCAGGAGGAGGCAGAAGGAAGGAGATAGAGGGGAGGCATAACTTTTATAGATGTGTATTTAATATGTGTGTATACATATATGAGAACAGCCGTATTGTATGCGCGTAGATATATGTATATGATAATATGTATCATGGTCATCATACTAGATGCATACATGAACATGTATATGTGTATGTGTAGCAGCCAAGAATACTCATACATAAGCATCTAATGGTAGTCAGTATGCATATATACATATACATCTATACGATACCACCTATAATACAAGCAACGCCTTCCGCAACGCACGAGAGCGACGGCGGGGCGCCAGCTCGGCGACGAGAAGCCGCTCCGGTGGCTGGGCCTCCTGGCGGCCGTCGGGGGTTGGCGTGGCGGGGCTCGGCGGCGGGGTGGCGTCAGAGTCTGGTGATGGGGACGATGGTGGGGACGATGGCGGTTGTGGTGGTGGTGGTGGTGATGGGGATGATGATGGTGCTGGCGGTGGTGGTGGTGATGGTGATAGTGATGATGATGATGCTGGTGATGATGATGCTGGTGATGATGACAATGATGCTGATGATGCTGACGGTGATGATGGTAATGGTGGTGATGGTGATAGTGATGGTGATGAGGGTGATGAAGCTGATGATGATGATGATGATGATGATGATGATGATGATGATGATGGTGGCTGTGGTGGTGGTGTGATAACGTCATGATGTCGGTGATGATGGTGAGGCGGATCCACGAGTTTAAGGAGGTCAGCTCCCCGCTCGATGCAGCCTCCCGAAGCAAAGGCCTTTCCCTCCAACCCCGACCCGTGCGCCTCGGCGGGCGCAGCCTCGCAGATGATGATGACGATGATAATAATGTGGATGATGCTGATGATGATGATGATGATGATGATGATGATGATGATGATGATGATGTGGATGATGCTGATGATGATGATGGTGATGGTGATGAGGATGAGGATGATGAGGATGGAGATGATGACGAGGATGCTGATTATGATGGTGATGATGAGGATGGCGATGATGATGACGATGATGATGATGGTGGTGGTGATGGTGATGAAGATGTGGATGATGCTGATGATGGTGATGAGGAGGATGATGATGGTGATGCTGAGGATGGCGATGATGACGATGATGATGATGATGATGATGATGATGATGATGGTGATGATGATGATGGTGACGGTGATGAGGATGAGGATGTGGATGATGTTGATGCTGCTGACCATGGTTGTGATGATGGTGATGCTGATATCGTTGATGATGGTGATGGTGAGGATGATGGTGATGGTGATGAGGATGGTGATGAGGATGTGGATGATGATGATGCTGCTGACGATGGTAGTGATAACTAATGGTGATGATGATGGTGATGATGGTGATGATGATGATGATGATGATGGTGATAATGATGATGTTGATGACGTCTGGGTCTGCTTCGCTGAAACCCCCAGGGCTTGCCAAATTGTTTGAAACTTCACATGCGGAAGGAAACCACTCCGCAACAATTGACCGATGCGCGCTGGGAACGCCCGCATGCGCCGGCGGCCTCGCTGAACGTATTTTCGAAACGCAGGCCGTTCATAAAGCAGCCTCGAAAATATGCAACCAACGACAATGGTAGACGAAAAGGGAGGTGAACGACGCGATGCGCGAGACAGAAACCAATTTGATGTCTCATAAGAACGCCCTTTGCCGGCCCCGCCCCCAGGCCCAACCCCCACCGGTCACGTCACGTTTCGCGCTGGCGCAATCTGGGAATTAGCCAGTCCTACGCATTCCCAGACGGCGCTGACGCTAATCGTGACATTACAATTAAGTCGGGCCTGTCCCTACAGGCGGATATTGGACGAAAAACAAAAAATAATAAAAAATGCACCAACAATATTCAAAACTGGTCCAGAAAGCGTTTCCATATTATTTTTTGACTACTTTTGAACATTCCCTTTGTAGAGGGACAGGCCCGACTTGACATTACAGCCCCCCCCCTTCTCCCACCGCCTGGCCACGCCCGTTATCGCCTGGGGGTGCTTCTAGGTGCCCAGAGTGGCCCTGCTCTACTCGGGGACGCGCCACATCAAATAACCATGAATATGGGTCATGTGGCTTTGTGCGAAGATTATACACCGATTCTGGCCAGGCCCATCCTGAGCCCAGGATCGGTGCATACGCCCTCTTATCTTGGCCAGAAAGGTATATGCACCGATCCTGGGTCAAGGATGGACGCTGTCAGAATCGGTGCATGTGCATAGTTCTCTTCGCCGGGAACTATCATTCGTCGGATCTCAACTTCTTTGTACTATGTTTTCTGTTTGGCCCGCGGGCTCGGCCTTTCACGCTCTCGGAGCCCAGCGGCCCTCCCTCCCAGCAGTATCACCGGTGACGCTCCAAGGATCACAGACGCAATTCTCGCATCTCGTGTCGCCGCCTGTCTCCGGGCTTCCTCCAATTGCGGTCGTAGCAACTTACGACAGAGCACCGGAAATCGAGGCTCACTCGCGTCTGCCCGCTGACGTTCGGCTTCGCAAAGTGCCGGCACACCACGCCCGGGAAGCGCCAGCAATCTCCGCGCTCCAGCGGGAGGAAGGGGTACCAGTCGGCCCTGCCTGGCGCGGACTCTGCCCACAGGGTCGAGGTCTCATCGACGCGCGTGAGCGGCATCCAGAAGTTCACCTCGCCCTCCTGATGACCGTACTGCGCGTCCGCGTGCAGCTTCGTGATGCTGCGAAACCTGGCCTGAGTGCCTTCGGCTCCACAGCCCGTTCCCTCTGGCATGTGTGAGCTGCAGATTCTGACGGAGGGGGGATATTGGTACAGCAGTGTCCGTGTGTCCTCATCAAGCTCCACCTCCGCCTCCCGCTCGAATTCGCGCAGAATGTGAGGACCGACTACTGCTCCCACGAATTCCTCGTACAGGTGCAAGAACTGAGGACACTCCCTCTGCAACCTGCGGAAGAACGCGTGCCGCCCCTGCAACTGGAGCAACTTCATCTCTGCAGTGATGGAGTAGCCCTCCAGCGCGCGGCACACACGGTCGTCCTCCGAGCAGCCCAGCTCCAGACTCAGCACCTCCTCCGCCACTGCCTGGGACATCCTTGCGACAAGGTCCACCGACCGCCCACTGTGGAGGCCTCCCACATGGGGTCTGACTACCTACCAGACCACCACAACCCAACCCGAAGACCCGAATTTAAGCCGAATTTCGGGTTGGGGGGGGGGGGTACGGGTTCCATATGTTTTTACCATGGTCCCCGACCCCCCCGCACTGGAAATGGAGGGCAAATGGAAGTCGTCTTCGGGTTGGGTTGGGGTGGTTTGGGGGTGGTGAGGTCCTGAGCCGATGGGGTCAAGGACCGCGCCTCATCGACAACGCATCGTCGAGACATCGGTGACGTCGGCGATGCATCGGCGCCGTCGGCTTGAAGAACATCGGGCTACACATCCAGCCGCATCGCGATGCGGCGCGGCCCTACGACCCCATCAACTTTGGGGAAACCAAGAGGTACCGATACCGCTACTCCCGGGACCTCTCCCGGGGTGTGTTCTGACCAGCATTTCGAAGCGAATCCATCGGTGGCGACGAGGGCCCCCCAGGAGGCCCCCCAAAGGGGAAAACGAGGCGAGGGTAGCGGTATGGACCCAGACATGCGACGTCCTGATTTTTTCAGGACGGCTTCCCTGGAAGTCCCGACCCTTTCCCCAGGACCGATCTTTCATCCTGAGTCGTTTATTGATGGTCCCGAGGCCTGGCGAGGGCCCCCCGGGGCCAGCGAAAAGCCTCCATGTCTGGGTTTCCTCCTCTGATCAACTTGGACCCCGTTTTTGAGCAAATCTTATATGCCTACCACGAAATTTTCTTAGAACCCAAAAATGTTCCAACAACAAAAAATGTTGTTATAACATTTCGTGCAGACCACGAGCGGTCCTTAGAACATTCTTTGGTAGGCCTATAGGAAGGCCAGGACGCTTCGCCACTGCTTGAGTCTGGGCTTCCTCCTCTGATCAGCTTGGACCCCATTTTTTGATGGGCCTGTTTTCCACCACCACCACCTCAAGTTGGAGGGCGAGGGGGTCCTCCTCCTCCTCCTCCTCCTCCTCCTCCTCCTCCTCTTCGTTCTCCTCCCCCTTCCCCCTCCAACTTATGGCGGTGGCCGTGGAAAACAGGCCCACCACATGCTGGAGGCCCGGACACTGGCCGGCCCCCCGTCTGCAGTGCTCCAGCTGGCCCCGGCCCGTAGCCAGGGAGGGGGGCAGACGCCGGAGGGGCTGCGGCTCCAGGTGTGGGACGCCGCGGCGTCTCGCCTGCCCCTGCGGGCTGGGTCGAGGGGCCGATGTTCCACCACCACTGCCACAGGTAGGAGAGGGAAGAGGAGGAGGAAGAGGAGGAGGAGGAGGAGGAGGAGGAGGAAGAGGAGGAGGGGGGGTGGCAAGAAAGCATTGGATAAGCTCGCCAGAGGACTCCTCCCGCCCAATCGGGATGCCTGGCCAGACGAGTCTAGGCCCAGTCCAGAGTGAGCTATCCTGCCCCCTTTTCCTCTTTTAAGGGCCCTGGCATCGGTACCAGACTCAGGCCCTCGTGTAGTCGTTCCCAGGAGGAGAAGGAGGAAGAGGATCTTCCCATCATCCCTTTTCCCCCGTCCTACCTATGGTAGTGGTGACGGAAAATTTGTCCATCATGGGTGCGGGGTGCAGCGCGGAACATCCGGACACCCCTCTGTCGATGGAGCGGGGTACACGTCCTGCGCATTTCCAGTCTGGCACCGCCAGAACGGCCTCGATGTCCACCGGCGCTCGCACACCTGTAACGACCAGCGCTGCCTGCATGCGTCCCTTTTGTTGGACACCTAGCCACCGGTACTCAAGACCGCACAGTGATACCACCTCAAACAAAGCGAGAATCTCATGGTTTTCAAAGCCGCAATAGTTGAAGAGCTCGTCGAACACAATCACAGTCCCCTCGCGGATGCGGCCGTGCTGGATGAGCTTCTCGAGAACGAAGATGCACGATGAATAGAGGTCCGAGTCCAAGTGTAGAAATGCCACCGGTTCTGGATGCTCGAGCAAAAAGCCTGACAATGTGTCCTCGAACAGGCCCTCGACAAGAGCAACGTGGCCCTCCACCGCCGCAGCGAAGGACGGTGGCCGGTGCATTTCCGTCTCAAAGTGACCTGCCCTGAATCCAGGACGCCAATCCTCTGGCAAGCCTTCGAATGAGTCAAACCCGAAACACTTGCCGCCAACGACACTGACTCCGCCAGCGATGATGGCTGGCACGTGGGCTGCGATGAGGCCCAAGCTCCTGCCTTCAGCTACACCAAACTCCAGCCACAGGCCCGCAAGGAACGAAGACCGATCATGTCGCGTGAGCACGTGCTTCAGAGGGCTGATGCCCAAGAGGTGCTGCTCTGCCCGACGAATCTCCTGCTGGATGAACTGGAGGAGCGCCGGCGAGTTTGCGCATCGCCAGCGCTCCCTCGCACACCTTGGCGCATGGTGCGTGATTGTACCGGCGGGCTCGCGCTCGAAGCCCTCCTGCACAGCCATGACGAGCTCGTCGATGCTCCTGACGCGGGCTGCCGCATGCTGCGGGGTGAAGACCTTGAAGGTGCCCCACGATTCCAGTAAGTGGCGCAAGAGAAGCGCCGTGAACCGCTGCCGGCGCCAGGCGGGACGGTCCAGGGTATCTGGCAGGGTCTGTCGCCGCCATATGCCCCACAAGTCCCCCAACAGTGGCGCAGTGAGCGCCCGAGCCTGCCCCCGTAGCCTCAGGCAGAGGCTCAACATCTGCGACGGTGCGTCCTCCAACGCGCCCGCGCCGTCCCAGGCGTAACGCGAACCGAATGCCGATGCCGACGACCCCAACCTAGAGGAAAAAGAACTATGCACATACACCGATTCTGGCCAGGCCCATCCTGAGCCCAGGGTCGGTGCATACGCCCTCCCACCTTGGCCAGGAGGGCATATGCACCGATCCTGGGTCCAGGATGGGCCTTGCCAGGATCGATGCATGTGCACAGTTCTCTTCGCCCGACCAACCGTCGCCCCGCAGCCGCCAGCGCTCTTGGCAAGGAGGGCGGCGCCCGCCCAGCCCGGCCGGGCGCCCGCGGCCGCCCGCGACGGCGCTCTCCGCAGGCCGCCGCGGCGAGGGCGCCGGCGAAGGCGGCGGGCGCCCGGCTGCCACGCTCGGCCGGCGGGCCGGCGGCAAGGCCTGCCGAGCGACGCCCGCGCACGCACGCAGCCGCTCGTGATGGGCCTGTTTTCCACCACCACCACCATAAGTCGAAGGGGGGAAGGAGGTGGAGGACGAGGAGGAGGGCAAAGAGGAGGAGGATGACGAGGAGGAGGATGAGGAGGAGGAGGACCCCCTCCCTCTCCAACTTATGGTGGTGGTGGTGGAAAACGGGCCCATCAGCTCGGCAGCCAGGTTGCCCTGCGCGTGCCGGCAGCGCGGGTGCAGGGAGCGGTGCCTCCGTGGGCCCCACTGCGAGAGCCGCCGACATCGGAAGCCACGCAGCGCCAGCGAGTCGCGGCGGGGTGACGGGTGCGGGGCAAGCGGCCGAGAATTCGAGCCAGGGAAGCGATGGACATTTGGGGTGCAGATGTCAGCAAGGCGATCAGGCAGTCACGTTCGTGTTCGTGCGAACATGGATGTGTGTCCTGGTAGCGGTGCAGGTCATAGCCAAACCAACGGAGGGGGCCGTTCCCCACGCCCTGATCAAGAATCCCAGGACAGCCCCAAGACCCCAAGGAAGGGCACGAGAGAGGGAAATCGAACTGGCCTTGGGAGCCCCAAGAGGGACGCAGACCTCAAGAGCCCATGATCAATGATGATCCCTACGCGTGGCAGATTGTCGTGCGTCGCCTCCTCTGACCTCTGACAGCCCAAGACGGCCAGAGAGGCCCCAAAGATGGCCTCAAGATGGCCCAAGAATCCATGAGAAGGCCCCAAGTTGGCCCGACTGGGCGTCGAGATGGCGCTGGAGGTCCACAATACGGTCCAAAAATGGACAACGATACTCCCCAGACAGCCCAAATGGACCCCAGAGGGCCCGGGCTCGGCCCCAGAGGGACGCCCCTAAAGGGCCCCAAGACGGCCCCCAAATCCCCCAATCGCCCAAAGAAGTCTCGGAGAAAGCCCACTGGAGAGCCTCAAGGAACACCATCGATCCCATAATTTGTTGCCAGTGCCCCAGAAGGCCCCGAAAGCTCCGAAGAAAATCCCAAGAGGGCCCCAACATAGCCAAAGACCAAGACCGTTCTGAGGGACCCGCACAGGGCGTTGGAATCCTCTCCCCCCAAGATAACCGCAAGAGGCACCCAGAGAATCCAAAAATGCCTCCAAGAAGCCCCATGGATCCCCAACAGGCCTCGAGAAGCCTCTTTCGCAACATGGTCATGCTCCTCCTCCTGCTCCTCCTCATCCTCCTCCTCCTCCTCCTCCTC